AATTAGAAGGTGAAGGACGTTGACATCAGAGAATGTCAGGGACCTAGAGGAAAACAGCTGCGATGGTGAGGAAGACATCAGATCCAGCGGGGGAAATGATGGTAAGGACGGAAGGACGATGTCAGGGACGGCAAGTAGTATAAGAGTGAGAAGGTTTCTGTGTGGAAGGGATGAAAACGCTCAGCCGGTTGTTGGTGGTGGATGCTGACGTTTAGGGTGCACCAGTTTTGCAAAAGTCGACACCATTTCCGGAAACGCACAGAGAGCATTGTCCCCTTCGCTTTGCCGTCCCTTCCTCTCCCCACCACTACGCCCCTTCTGGCCTCAGCCAATCAGCACGCACGCCGGGACGCGCAGGGTGAACGTCCTGTGACGTCCTCGCTACGTACGCTTTATCAGTCGTCTTCCCGCGCAGCTCCGTCTCTGTTTTCTCTGCTCTTCCGACATCTCTCTGTGTTCGGCTTTTTTACGTTTTAATTTCCAGGTAAGCTACATATGTCCTGCGGAACGGCGGCTCCTAGCCACATATGCGCCGCGCCGCCCAAGACCAGGGGATAGCGAGTAGGGAGAATAAAGGCCGGTGACACGTAGGCTTGGCATTTTCTGGGGCGGGCGGGTGCCGTGCTCGGAGGTGAAACATTGCGGTTGGTGGAAGGTCGGCGCGCCGTATTTGAGTGTGAGGTGTACCGGGAGGGCCTGGTGGCGTCGGGGGTGTCAGTAACCACGCGACAGCCTACACTTGATTTTCTTTTCTCACGTGGCGGCCGCCATCTTGTTCTGCCGGCGTCGAGGGAAGGCAAGGATGCTCTGGGCTTGCGCAGTGGCACAAAATGACGGGTGTGGCGGCTGTGAATGTGTGAGGATGCGCGATGGTGGTTCCCTAATGGTGGCTGCGCTGAGTCAGCCCCGCAGATTACCACTTTATTGGCCTCCTTTCTCAGCCTCTCTAGTTACCCATATTTTGTTCCTCTTTTTTGTCTGTTTTCTATGCTTCTCTTTGCCTTATCTTTGGATATTTTCTCACTTATCCATTTTTTGTTTCTTTCTGCCACGATTCTTCATGTTCTTCCTACAGGACTTGAACTCGCTGCCATGTCCTCTGAAGAAGGAAAGCTTTTCGTAGGGGGGCTCAACTTCAACACCGATGAGCAGGCACTGGAAGACCACTTTAGCACTTTCGGGCCTATCTCTGAGGGTGAGACGGGCCAGATTGACAATGGGGGTTGGTGAGAAAGTCTGGGACTCTTGCATTTCAAAGAATATTCAGCAAAAAGGCAGAACCCCAACTTCCCAAATTCTTTTTCTCCCTAAACTTACGGTGTCGACTAAGGCTGAGGAAAACGTCTTCGGAATTGGTGGGAGGGCTCCGTTTTCCCTACCTACCGCCATTCCCTTTTCAGGCCACCCTTTGCTACTTAACCTTTGTGGTGCTGACTGGTCCACATTGTTCCATTTTCTCCTCCTCACAGTGGTCGTTGTCAAGGACCGGGAGACTCAGCGGTCCAGGGGTTTTGGTTTCATCACCTTCACCAACCCAGAGCATGCTTCAGTTGCGATGAGAGCCATGAACGGAGAGGTGGGGCATCCTATCTGCAGAGGGGCCTTGCCCCCGTCTGCAGCTTCCTTCATTCTGTTTTTCCCCTCTGTCTGCTCGGGGCAGCGTGGCCACCAAGCCCCGCAGTGCCCACTCACAGGAGCATGACTGCCTTCTGTTCTAGGGGGTGGAGGGCAGCGGCATACAGAGCCTGGCCGCCTGGGAGGCGACGACTGGTCCTGCATGAGGCCGAGAAGCCACCTGTGGATGGTTGACCTGCCTTGGGCTTAGGTAGTAGAGTCTGCAGACCTGTGGGCCTGGCCGGGAGAGGACCTCGTGAGTCTTCTGACATGGACTCTGAAGCCTCAAACCAAGAGAGGTGTCTGTCTAGCCCTGATAGTGGGGCAGCTTAGAGGAGTGGGGAGGAGAACTCAGCCTGAGTTCAGTCAAGATGTAAGTAGTAGCAAAGGGAACACGGTGCTTTCAGTTCATTTTATGTGGGATTCTGTAGCTCCTGATGAATCCATTCTGGGGTAAAGGAGCTTATTCTGGAACGTGGCACCCAGAACCTGTTGCCCAGCAGGAATTTTTGGGCTCTTTTGCCCACTTTGCCCATGCCTGCTCTTCCCTCACCACTGCCCTGATGGACTGTCAACCCATCCTCCTTGTGTCTCCCACACGTAGTCCCTGGATGGTCGTCAGATCCGTGTGGATCACGCAGGCAAGTCTGCTCGGGGAACTAGAGGAGGTGCCTTTGGGGCCCATGGGCGTGGTCGCAGCTACTCTAGAGGTGAGTGCAGTGATAAGTTTGATCATGGAGTGAGAGGGAGAATTGCCTATGTGTGGATAACTGCCATTTAAATATTTTTTCTTCTGTAGGTGGTGGGGACCAGGGCTATGGGAGTGGCAGGTATTATGACAGTCGACCTGGAGGGTATGGATATGGATATGGACGTTCCAGTTCCAGAGACTATAATGGCAGGTGGGTAGCCAAGGGGTTGGGATTTTTTGCTATTGCTTTCCTCTCCTTAAAAACTCAGTGCCTGGGTGTTCATACATACCACACCTTGTTGTTACTAATGTGTGCTTAAAATGAGTATGAAGTATTTTGAGTTAATTGTATGGTCATACAGTTGCAAGATGATGAAGTATACTATATGTTAGTTGTGCTGTGTGGGTTAGTTATATAACTGTTGTTTTAACATGGAATATTTAATATACTGCACATAAATTGTATGCTGTAAAACGTTAAGCATATGGGACATATGCTTAACATACCCTGTTTTTGATATCTAAGGTTTATGTTATGGTATATACTGTAAAATGTGACACATACAATTAATGTCAGTGGTGTTAATGCAGTCCTGGAAATCTTCTGTGTGTTTTTTTTTTTTTTTTCTTTCAGAAACCAGGGTGGTTATGACCGCTACTCAGGAGGAAATTATAGAGACAATTATGACAACTGAAATGAGACATGCACATAATGTAGGTGAGACTTGGATATCAGCATTGAATGAACCTGTTTGTCACAGTCTGTCATGACCCTGTCACCTTTTCTGGCAAGACTACTCTGGCAACCTAGCAAACACCATTCCTAGGGCTTCCTTGCTCTCAGATGCATGTCAGAGCTAGTCTGCTATGGGGTGGGATCTGAAAACCTATAATTCTATAATTCCTATAATTCTCTACTCTTGTGTGTGATGGAGGAAATGAAGGGGTGTCCCTGTTGTCCAACCCTGAGCATCTTTATCAGCTCTAGGAGGTGCGCATGTTGTCAGCCTCTTCCTTCATGACATCATAATTCTTCCCCTCTTGCTGTTCTCAGATGCACAAGGAATAATTTTTGATCCAGGATCGTCCTTCCAAATGGCTGTATTTATAAAGGTTTTTGGAGCTACACTGAAACATCTTATTTTACAGTATATCAACCTGTTGTTTTTAAATTGAGCTGTCAAGGTAGCCAAAGACCTTTTAGACACTTCTATCTTTAAAAAAAAAAAATTTTCTGCCTGTTTAAAGACAAATTACATTTGTAGAGCCTGAGTATTTTTCTTTTTACCAGTTTTTTAGTTTGAGCTCTCAGGATTATTGGATCTAGCAATAACTGGCAAGTTGAGCCAGATTGATTTCAAAAAATTAATATGTATCCAGGGACATTTTAAAAACCTGTACACAGTGTTTATTGTGGTTAGGAAGCAATTTCCAAATGTACTTACAAGAAATGTGCATCAGGCCAGCCTGACCAACATGGTGAA